AGTTGCCACTTTCAGTCCAGTTGCAGAGTAGGGGTGGGCGTAGTCCACCATCCCATGCGGGAGTCATACCAGCAACCTTGTTGCACACTGAGCCATCCGGCTGCCTGTCATTTGCTCAAGGCAGTTGCTCAGCTCAAGGTGCCCTGTTCAATCTTAGTTGCAGGGTGGGGGGGCACAGCCCACCATCCCATATGGGTGTTGAACCGGCAACCTTGCTGCTAAGAGCACATGCTCTCACCAGCTCATTGGCAGCTTAGCTCGGGCGCAGCTCACTGGCCCATGTGGGAATCAAACCTGCGACCTTGTTGCTCAGAGCTCGCGCTCTTAACCAACTGAACCACTCTGCCGGCCCTGCTATATATATTTTTTTAATTGTAGTTTTCCTAGCGGGTGTGAAGTAGTATTACAGCCATCCTAATGAGTATGAAGTGGTATCTCAATGTAGTTTTGATTTGTATTTTCCTAATGGTAATGAGGTTAACTATCTTTTCATATGCTTATTAATCATTTATATATCTTCTTGGGAGAAATGTCTATTCAAATCCTTTGCCCATTTTTGTTTTCTTTTAATTGTTGAGTTGTGAGAGTTCTGTATATTTCTAGATACTAGACCCATATCACATATATGATCTGCAAATATTTGTTCTCATTCTGTGAGTTGTCTTTTCGCTTTCTTGATGGTGTTATTTGCAGCATTAAAAATTTAATTTTAATAGTCTGATTTATCTAGTTTTCTCTTTACTTCTGCATTTGGTGCCATCTAAGAAACCCTTGCCTAACTTAAGTTCACAAAGATTTACACCTATGTTTCCTTCCAAGAGTTTTATAGTTTTTGCACTTACATTTAGATCGTTGATCCATTTTGAGTTAACTTTTATGTATGGTGTGAGGTACGGCTCTAACTTCACCCTTTTGCATGTGGATATTCAGTTGTGCCAGCACCATTTGTTAAAGAGATTATTCTTTCCCCCATTGAATGGTCTTCAAACCCTTGTTGAAAGTCAATTGAACATAAAAATATGAATATATGAGTTTATGTGTAGACTCTCAGTTGTATTCTGGGTTTGAATCTTAGCTTTGTTACTTATAAACAAGTATAACCCTGGACAAGTTACCTTTTATTTTATTTTGGTAATATAGAGCAGCGGTTCTCAACCTGTGGGTCATGACCCCTTTGGGGGTTGAACGACCCTTTCATAGGGGTCGCCTAAGACCATCGGAAAACAAAAATATATTTACATTATGATTCATAACAGTACCAAAATTACAGTTATAGTTTTATTACATAAAAAGTGTAATAATTTTATGGTTGGGGGTCACCACAACATGAGGAACTGTATGAAGGGGTCGCGGCATTAGGAAGGTTGAGAACCGCTGATATAGAGAGTTGTTGTGAAAATTAAATGAGATAATACACATAAAAGGTATTATTTAGTGCCTAGCACATAGTAAATGCCCAATAAACTTTAAGGGGAAAGATGTTTAGATAATCAGGAAATTAGGGAAAATGGGGGATGGTTGAAAGGATGCTGAAATATTACGAGTCGCTAGAACAAGGTGGCCTCATAAATGAGAGATGAGATGAATAGGTGTTTGAAGAAATTGAAAAAATGTTCAGTTCCTCAAATTTGGCTAAAGCAGCTACTATATGATGATAATAGAACAGTATAGAAAAGTTACATATCATAAGCAACAGACTGTAACCAGCATATATATTATTCTTTATAGAGCTGAAATAGTTAAGGTAGGTTATTTTAGAGCAGTGATGTTTGACTTTTACTCTGTCAAGGACTCTTGAGAACATTTTGAATGCTACGGACAACACTCTCCCCATGAAAATGCATATATGACATACACACAACATTTCTCAAACAGTTTCAGAAGATTCAGGAATCCCTGATTTAAAATCCTATTTTGACCTCACCTAAGGCAATCCTGACCCATATCATACTTTCCTAAGCTTAATTTCATAGTGAGGCTCAAGTGTCACACTTACTTGGGAGCAATTTTAGGGTTCTAGGAAAATTTAAAGAGCTTTTCCTCTGTACAGAATAATTTATACAACACCCTCCTGAGACTTAGAAGAGTTGTGGTACTCTGATTGTTTTGTATAGGTTTCAACACATACACGTCTTTCAACTATGTTCCTGACCATTTGTCATTTTGGCGGGGGCCTTACTTAATCCTTCCAGATATCTTCCAACACAGACATTGAGGAATGCAGATATGCAGCTCTGGAAGAGATAGTAATAGAATTGCAGAGTGAGATGGAAACATGCCTAGAACAAAGAGAGAAAGTTCTGGAAGGGACTCAGATGAGAGGCAGATTCAGAGAAACCCAGAGGGACACAGAGACAAAAATAGAAGTGGAAATGTGCTGTTTAGAAACTCTATTATAGATAGTCAAGATAAACTTCAGTGAAGGAGGTGAGATGATTGAAAAAGAGGTGTAGGGAAAACAGCACAGGCATTGTGACCCAGTGCTCTGGGTATGTATGTTCCTGGTTGATTTACTTAACAATGCTGAGCCCCAATTTCCTAACTGTAATACAGATATAGTAGTAGTATCTTTCTCACAGGCTCCTTGATAGGATTTAATGAAACAATGTGTGTAAAGTGCTTAACATAGTACTCAGAATACAGGAGGTGCTGTACAAATGCTAGGCCCCTTCCAACTACTTCTACTTTAAGGGTTCCTTTATTTAACAATTATTTAATGTCTAATGGGTCTGAGGCATCATGCTCTGAATAAAAAATGGAATATTGGGTTGTCAGAAAAGTGATGACGCATTTTTGCAACGAAAAACATAGAAAAAATATGTCATGATTTTTCTGACAACCCAATAATTGATGCCCTCAAGGAGCAGGGAGACTTAGCTGGAGACACAGATATGTAAATGAAATAAAACAGAATGTTCTGGAAGCCACCAGTGGATGAGGTAATATACACATGTAAATGAGAGAACTCCTAGTTTTCTGGTCTTGGATGAGGATATTCATCAGATAGGGGAAATTGGAAGAGGAGCAGGTGTTTTGTTTTTTCAGGGGAGGGGGAAATATTGGGTTGTCGGAAAAGTTGTTACGTATTTTTTCTGCTTTTCATTGCAAAAATGCATCATGACTTTTCCGAAAACCCAATAACAGGTTCACTTACAGATATGTTGAATTGAGCAGTGGAGCTATGAAAGGCAGTATCGCAGCCTTGAGAGGAAGTTGGAATCTGTCATCTCTAAAGTCTCTTCCAATTCTAAGATTCTACAATATATGTACATTTTAATTGTTTTACTTTTTCATCTCTGTAGGTGAATGCTGATAGATGTTGTAAGCTACAAAATACTAGCCAACAATTTTCAAGCACTTGTAAATTGTAAAATAAGAATACCACACATCTCATTTTTAAAAAACAGTTATTCAAACATCTGAAATTACCAGAGTGTCAGTTTTACAAAAAGTTTCTTCACTTTTACCGCTCAGTTTCCTATAGATTTCCACAAAATAGCTAGTTAGTTCAGTTTACTTAAAAGTTTTGATTTAGAAACAGCTTTTAGGGATACATCTATTGTACTTTTGCAGAAGGTGTAATTGTACTCTATTTAAGTATCCTGTAAGAGGGCTATGTGGATATTCGATAGAAGACAAATATGAACAAATATCAATAGCAGAGTCAAATTCTCAAGCCTTGATGAGTGTCTCCAATGATAGTGAGATGATGAACAAAAGTTATGCAAAAGCAAAAGGATGAGCAGGATTAACACTTTCAGTCAATACCATATATTTTGTATTGTTCCTTAGTTAAGGCTAGCTTAGAACATTTATGTGTGTTGATTTTAATTAATGGGAGACCCAACAAGTATCTATATGTTCAGCTCAGAAATGTCTGTGAGAGGAGAGATAGATTGACCAAGAGTTTGGCTTCTTGTCAGTTGGGTGACTTCTTTCACTCAGATGCACACTAAAATGAAGATTACCAGATCTGAAAATTTCTGGCTCCTCTCCTTGCTAATTTATATCTAGATCTTGATTTGCATCTTGTTATGTTTTAGGAAGTATGAAAGGACACATGGAGAGGTGAGCTTATGCTAGGTCAGCAGATGTTAAATAGTAAAACCAACTGAAGCCACAAGGTAGTATGTCTTCATTATTGATCAGCAACTATTGCTGAGTAAGTCGAAAATTTAAAACCATTTCTCATTCAGCTTGATGAAGAGTTTTCTGAAGGTGAAGGAAGAAAGTGAAAATGAAAACTATCATCTTTTGTTTCTAGAAACTCAGTTTACTAGAAGTGGGACAGAACATAAATTTCCATGTGGTAATAGGAAGTAATTCAAGTTCATTCTGTAAAGAACTTATTATCCTGCACTAAGAACTACATTTTTCTAAAGCTCTCTCTTCTTCTTATGCAGGCTCTCAGACTGGAATCATTTCAAGAACTAGAGAGTTACTTTGAAATATGGCCTTGTTTTCCCTCCACTTGATGTGAAATAGGAGCAGCCCCTATATTTTACCTTGAAGTAAAATAGGTAACAATATTGGAGAATGGAGATTGAGAATTTTGCAGGGCCTCAGGCTCATCATAGTCGAGGACAAGAAATGTCAGTGGAGAATATGTGAGTGAATGATCCATGCCAGTGTTGTGAGCTGGAATAGCAATGTTAACCAGTAAACCACGATTTGGAGGTGGCCACTAGGTTCTGTTTATTAGTGCAGGAAAATAAACTCAGGCATTTGTCAAAAACAAGGTTTGAAAAGGGAGCAAGGCTTCCTGATTAATTCCTGAATTGCTTTCCTATTGCTCCAGCATCCTTGGGGAATGCAGCATGTAAAACCTCCATTGATAGATTTATTGGGGTTATCACTTTGTGAGGTATGTAAGTGTCTAATCACTATGCTGTCTGTACATGTGAAACTAATAGTTAAAAAGCCTCCATTAGTGAATAATTATGCCACATCCACTTTTCCTTTGGAAATGCTTAATGACTCTTGCTTTGTATTCCTTGCAGGTGAAAGCCCAGCCTCTGTGGTTCTTAATGCCTCAGCAGGATTATTTTCATTAAAGATGGAAACACTGGAGTCTGAATTGACCTGTCCAATCTGCCTAGAGTTGTTTGAAGACCCCCTTCTGCTCCCTTGTGCTCATAGCCTTTGCTTCAGCTGTGCCCATCGCATTTTGGTCTCCAGTTGCAGCTCTGGTGAAGCCATTGAACCCATTACTGCTTTCCAGTGTCCTACGTGCAGGTATGTTATCTCGCTGAACCACCGGGGCCTGGATGGCCTCAAGAGGAATGTGACTCTGCAGAACATTATTGACCGTTTCCAGAAGGCTTCAGTTAGTGGGCCCAATTCCCCAAGTGAGAGCCGCCGTGAGAGGACTTACAGGCCCAGCTCCACCATGTCTAGTGAGCGAATTGCTTGCCAATTCTGTGAGCAGGATCCGCCAAGGGATGCAGTGAAAACATGCATCACCTGTGAGGTCTCCTACTGTGACCGTTGCCTGCGGGCCACACATCCTAACAAGAAACCTTTCACCAGCCACCGCCTGGTGGAACCAGTGCCAGACACACACCTTCGAGGGATCACCTGCCTGGACCACGAGAATGAGAAAGTGAACATGTATTGTGTATCCGATGACCAATTGATCTGTGCCTTATGCAAACTGGTGGGGCGTCACCGAGACCATCAGGTCGCATCCCTGAATGATCGGTTTGAGAAACTCAAGGTAAGGGATCTGGGAAATATCCCTTGCACGACTTTGTCTCTATATACACAGTTATACAGTTAGCAATTTCCTTAACAACACAGGTCACTTTTCTTGTATAACAAGTGAGTTAACTCCAAGTTGTTCTTGTGAGGAATAACCTGCTTACCTGCAAGCTCTCACTGGAACCTATTTCATCTGTGGCATAAACCTGCTTGCATTCATTCACCTCTGACCAATTCCGGGGGAGATAACCCACGGCCTGCCACACCAGTAGTCTGCCAGGGAAACAGCACCCTCTCTCCTCTGTCAGTGGCATATTGCACACTGCATATCTTTGCCATGATCTTTCCACCTCTTCTTTAAAGTATGTGAGTACCTGTGTAGATGTCCTACAATTAGCATATGTGTTGATTTGCGTATTTATGTTGTAGCAGTGGGAAGGTTGGGTGTGTCTCTGCGTAGGTGTGGGTGGAGGTGTCTGAGTATATCTCTGTAGGTGAGAGATTTTTGTGGAGGACAGCAGTGTATGGTTGCACACTCAGTACACTAAAGAAACAAAGGTTTGGCACTGACCACAAATTGCTGTCAAGCCCTTAATGCAGGACTAATTCTAAGCCTGCCTTAGAAAACAAAACAAACGGATAAAAAAGGAACTGAAGTGTACCACGAAGTCAGGAGGGATAATCAACTACGTGAACTAAAACTTTAAACCGAAGCCCATAAATATTTAATCCAGATTAGATTTTGTGCCAGGGTTCATTTTTGTGGGTTATAGACTGACGCACTTGTTTGCAGTCCCTGCCTTGGAAATTCTTAATCTTTCATTTGTGTTCAGTGGACAGAGTTTTCCCAAGTTGTTGGGCCATATAATATTTATGTGAGAGTAAGTCCCGGTTTTTAAAGCCCTAGTACCTCATGTTGATGTTAAGAAATATCAGATCCAACAAATTGTTTTATTCCCATTGCCTGCCTTCTGTGTGGTTTAAGTTCTTCTAAAAAGAGAGCAACTTACCAGAAATTCCAGAAAAATAAAATGCATAAATGAATAATAAGATTATCAGCCCAAAATAGGGCCTGAATATATAAGCCAAGCTGAAAGGAAGACCCAGATAGGGTGAAAGCAGGGCAAGAAAGGAGTGGAGAGTTTCCCGTTGCCATGCTCTAGAAAAGTCATTGTAATTTATGTAAAAATTATGATGTTGGTGAGGGTAGTGATACTCAGAATAGGATGCATGTTCCTGTCTGTAATTTGTGGCAAGCAATATTGAGAGTAGTCACACTGACAATGGTTTGTGCGTTTTTTTATTTTTTATATTCAGTATTTATAAATGTGTACAAAGTTCAATGTTTATCTGTTGATTTCACTCAAAGTGATATTCATATCGAGACTGCAGAGAGGAATAATCTCATTGACTTCAATTCTTAGAGTCATAAGAAGTTATGCCTTGAATTTGGCCTATTTGAAGCCCTACGCTTTAGAGTGGTATAAACTGAGAGGTTGATAGGTTGAGAGATTTGGTCAAAGTCACAGAATTTAAACCAGCTCCTAGATCCTGAGTTAAGTATCCTTTCTACTGCAGCCTGCTGCCACTTCCTTTTGGATCTAAGTTTCCCCCCATGGAATGGGATTTGGAACTAAACTGTGTGCTTCAGCAATTGCACATTTCGTGAGTTACAGATAAACCATTAACAGCATCAAGGAAAGGATATGTTGTATAAACTTACAGCTTCATAATGGCAAGACATGGGGGTGGGGGCAGGGTTGCAGGAAGAGGGGGGGAGATGGAGAGGATAGAACACTCTGCCAAATATTTGCAGGTGTTGGAGCTATAATAAGGCACTGGCCTTGAGAAATATTCCAAACAGAAAAATCTCGATCCATATGTACTATTGAGATAACAAAAGACTGGATAGAATAAGCTTGTACCTACAGAACACCAGCTTTTTGAAAACATGAAAACATTGGATGATTGATTAGATATTTGGCATCATGCAGCTATAGCCCTCATCTCCAGGGGTAGATGGAGCACAAAAGTATTTTACCAAAAGATACTTTAGTCTGTAACTAATCAGTCATTTTTAGAGAAAAAAGGCTAGATTTTGAATTGTTCCCTTTAATTTTTTAGGAAATGTGCAGAAAATTCTGATTATAAATTAAGTGGAAACTTCTTTTGCTCATTTTTGGATGGAGAGTGGAAACATATGAATCATTCCCAACCGTGTGGTTTGTTATGTTGTCTGGAACATCTTGGACTTTAGGGAGGGAGAGGGAGGTTCTGCTTGTGTGTGTGTGGGACGGTCACTTTGGTTTGGTGCCAAGTGCAAAAGGATATTCGTTCTCCACATTAAGCAGAGAGAAAATCTGACTTTTAGTGTCATGTATACTTACTTCTTTGAGTTAGTTTTAATTTAGAAAAGCATTTAGGATTATCCCCTTAATCTGTTTGATTCTTCCCTAAGGAGAAGGGAGAAAGCCAGCTGTTAGAAGCTGTGGGGGAAATGGCCTGGAGATACTCCCCTGACCCTGAGGGGTACATGGGAGTCCTACAGGAGAAGAGGAAAAATGATTATATATATATATATATATATATATATATGATATATCCAGTAACCAATATGGTATTTATTTGTACTTTTTTATTTTGGAGCTTCATTGTTGGCATTTATAACTCCCCTTATTGAACTAAACTCCCTGATTAGGATTAGGGGTGTCTAATATTTATTTGTTCAATAAAGAATTAACAGACCATTACGTTATGGATGAAAGGTCAGAATAACCAGAAGCCAGCCTGTCTTTTTCACATGTACTCAAATTCATTAGAGGTTTGAGGATACTCAGTATAGTTTTATTATCCTTATTTAGTTGTTCAGTCTATCTACATGACCTTCAGAAAGCTACCAATGGTTTAATTAATTCTTCAATTTCAAAGAATAATTGTGTTCATGACAGTTATTAGTAGTAAGCCCTCTCAGAGTAATTATTTTCTCCGTTACCTCTCTTTTTACTTACTAGTCTCAGTATATAAATTAGTTCATGATATGTGCTGCCTTTCTATAAAACTGCTTCACATTTTAGCATTTTCTTTGTCACATGAGTTTCTCCCTTTAGAAAAGATTGGTATTATTATATTAATAAATGCTGATTTTATAAAAAGAGGTCAATTTCGGTGGCTCTCTATTGGTGACAGATCTCAACTTAGTATTCTAAGTCCCGTACAACTTGTCCTCTTGCTGCCCATCTGTCTTTTCCTCCTACCACTCTCAAACATGCTGCCTTCATCTACCCAGGCTAGCCTCCTACCTGTCTACTAAACATGCTGTTCTCTTTTACGACTCTGAACTTTCACTCGCACTTGTGCTTTTCTCTTGGCCTGCTTTAGAATCCGACCTATTCTTTAGTGCTCAGTTGAAACCCCACAAGGCCACTCCAACACACCCCAACTGTACTATAAATTCTATGAGACCAGGAACAATGTCTTTTGTTTTTTCAGTATCCCCTTAGTGTCTAGCATACATAGTGTATGCTCAAGAAATCCAAATGAATTAAGTCTTTGTAATGGATTTGCAGAGAGTTTACCAGCATCTATAGCTTGCTTTGGTTCTCAGCTTGTAAGATACAAATCTGTCTTGCCATTATGAGTACTTTACAAGTCTGAAAAATATCTCCTGTGAACTACTGATAATGTTAAAAAGCAGAGTGTTAGCAAAAGTATGACATGTCCTTAATTTTAAGTGCCTGTTCATTTTGATTGCTGTATTTTTGAACTGCCTAAACCTATGGTGACATCTGTATAAATCAGGTGTGATTATTATAATTCTCTTTGAGAGTGATGTCTTCACATTTCCATGCCCACAGACTGCCAAAAATATAGCTGATGAAAACCTGGGGGAATAGAAGAATTTCCTGAAAGGAATAAACAAGCACATTTTCTTTTTCTCATTACATTTCCACAAATTCATTACTACAAATAATTCTTAAAGGCAATTACACTTACACATCAGGGATCTTGTTGTTATAAAATATTACCTGGCACTAGAGTTAGCTTTTTGTTATGGGAAAGTAACACACACACACACACACACACACACAGGAAAAGAGTCTGAGACAGAAAGAGCTAAAGATTGCCAGACAAAGAGAAGAAGATATGAGACTTGGAATATGTTCAAAGGAAAGCCACAATGAGAATTAAAAGGTTGGAAAATAAATACGATATTCTAAAATCTTATCATAGTTGATTGCTTGTCCTTCTTCCTACTCAGTCACTCTGTCATCCACCCACCTATTCTCACTCAGCCACCACCTTCTCCCAGTCATTTGTCTACTCTCCCACTTGACACCCACTTCTGTCTGCCAAGACAGATACCCTCTCAACTTACCTACCAATGGATATTTGACTGTTTTTGTACCAGTATGAGTATGAATCCAAGAGAAAGAAAGAGAAATATTTCTATGAGAGACTGAGTTGAGAGAGGGTATATTTGCATACATGTGTATGTGTCACTATATACAAGGGTGTGTGTTTCTGCACGGATGAGTGGCTGAGAATGACTCTGTGTGTCTGTATGTATCTATAAATGTGTATCACTGTGTGGAGGAGGAGATAATGTCTGTGTTAATCTTCTGTGGGTATATCTGTAGATAAGTTGTGTATAAGAGGGCCATGAGTGTAAGGCAGGCTTTCTGTGGCCATCCTAGGGAAGATTATGACCTCAGTACAACCTATCCCAATACTAGGAATCTCTCTAATAAAAGAGTCAGATCATACATCCTCATGCTAAGAAAAATCTTCAGGGGAGACCAGGGTGGGTTATCATAAGTAAAGAAACAGAAAAAGTTTCTTCTCACTTTTCATAGCTTAGGTACTGAATCACAGTAGCTAAATATAATAAGAGCAAAGCATTTGAGTCCATATTTGTGCTCTCTAAGGTATGGTGGTGCATATGTGTGTATGGGGGTGGGGGTAATATCTGTCATGGGGTTTCTCAACTAAACCAGCCTTCAACTCATGCTCGTAAAA